TCTTCTGTATCTCTGACACTATTTTTGTTTACAGTTCTCATTTATTCAGTCTATCGTCTACTTTGCGAAGCTGGGACTTGAATCACAAGCCACACTTTCTGCAGTCTCCCTGTTTGGCTTTGCCATTAGGGGGGCGCTAGGGAGAGACTGGGAGACTGGAAGAGGATGAAGGGATGTGCTCCATCCTATTTGCTCTGAGTCTATGTTTCTGCTTGTTCTTTCCATGCAGCCTAGAAACACCTTTTCACGCTGCAGTAGCACGTCATTCCAGTACCAGATGTTGATTCCAGTCTGCAGGTTTTCCAATGCTCATAGAACCAATGAGAGGCGCTTCCCAAAGTTGCCACCTCTACAATCCCTTAGGTTAGTGTTCTTATTTTGCTTTCCCAGTTCGTCAATATCTAGTCATCAATTCATTATCAATTGATTCTCTAATAGGCTAAATCTGTTCTTTTTTAGGGGAGATTACAGGTTTTTAAAAAAATTGACCGAAAGGAGCCTGTAATATTTCATCTTTGTCGGCATCCCTATAATTATGTCCACTTACTGTTTTTCTTTGATGTTCAGATACCACATTGGTTGCCATAACTTTAATGGGTTACACGCATTTGTTTGCTGCACTTTACCCCCATCATTACAATTATTAAACAATTCTAACCAAAAATCTATGTGCTGGGATAGCAGACATTTTTAACAGTTTTTCGACCATGTCCTTGCATTTTATTAAATTCAGTATATTCTATATGTACAGGTTTCTCCAGGCTCCAAAGTCTTGGCTTTGAAATTAAGACACACCTCAGAGAACTGTCACTAGAAAAAGAGGGATGGTGGCATCGGGGGTGGAAGAAAGAGGGGGATGGTGATTTTTATTTGGAAACAGGAAAACATGATATCAGTAGTAGCAAGGAGAGAAAGGAAGGTGGTGGTACCAGTAAGAGATGTCAGAGGAGATGGAATATTCCCTGGTTATCTATAAGTGAATGGAAAAGGAAGGCTTTAAGGTTTGGCATAGTGCTTTATGACAGATGACATCATGATGACCCTTCCAGAAAGTGCAGATTGATCTAGACCTTTTAATTTGGGACTACCTGGGTTCATTTCAAGAAGATAGAACACTCATTAATGCATAAGGACCTTTCTCAAAGACTAACTGAATGAATTCAAACCCAAAAGGGGAAACATCTTTCAAACTCACTTTAAAAGCTTTCAAAAATGCTGTTTAAAGCTCAAAAGCAGATGGAGCAAGATTACAGTCAGATAGGGGATGGTAGATGAGGGTAAAAGGAATCAAACATATGGTGATGAAAGGAGAACTGCCTCTGGGTGGTAAACACACAATGTGATATATAGATGATGTATTACAGAATTGGACACCTGAAACCTATGTAACTTTACTAACCATTGTCACCCCAATAAACTTTAATAAAAAACAAAAAGACAAAACAAAATGAAAAACAAAACAAAACAAAAACACTGTGAAATTTGGGGGCAAGAATTGGGATGAAGTGGGAGGAAGGGAAAGGTTGCAAGATTTATTACCTAACGGGTATAATTATACCTGAAACATATTTCCCAAGAACTTTTCAATCTTTACGTTTTATGCTTCTGTGCTTTCAAACACCAGCCTAGATACAGTCTTCTGAGCATGTGACCCAAGGAAATGTGATGTGTATCACTGATCACTTTGAGCTACCTACTGTCCTATTTTTTTATAGCTATCTATAGCTGTCATTGACAATAAACTATTACATAAATGTCAGCCACTTCTCACAAGTTTTAAATTGCTTGCTTTCCACTTGCGAAGCACTTGGAGAAATGACTTTAATTTTTTCTCTCTAAGTTAACCCTTAGTGGCAGCAGTCAGAGAAAATTTCATTTTTTTAAAAGACTTCTTTCAAAGAATGTTTGACTTGAATGTGGTAACCTACTTCTTAAACTGAAGCTTTGTGGAGCTTCACGAGTAGGTAAAATAACATTTTTGTTTGTTTATTTTAAATTGGGAAATAATAGTAGACTACTCAATCCATCCTTGCAGACCTAGAATAGAGTTCTTGAAACTCTAGTCTCTCTGTCCTATGTAGGAGCATCTCAGTTATTCCTTAAATGGTGGAACTCCAATAGGTGGAAAATTCTGATGCTGAAAGCATCCATTTCTCATTCAGTGAATAAGAGCAGCGCTCTCCCCATCAGCTACCTGAGGTATCACTAAATTGAAATATGTGCACTGTGATAAACCAAAAGAATCAAGAGGTGACTTAAATGGATGGAGGCAACCAGAAAGAACATATTAAAGAAGGTGAGTTTTGAATGACAGGAAAAGAATTAAATAATAGTAAGGGAGCAGGAAAGAATTTCATGAATGGAAGCAAGTTATAGCAGTGTTTCATATGAGATGAGTAGAAAAATGATAGCAAGGATATTTCAGTAAATGTGTCATCATCTAGAGAGACAAAATATAGAATAGTGTCTATTTCTGACTCTTTTGATAAATTTTCATTTATGTATTCAGTAAATATTTATTGAGCACCTACAGTTGTTTTGTTTTTTTGTTTTTGTTTTTGTTTTTTTAGCTGAGCTCCTGCCAGCTAATAAAACAAAAACAAAAACAAAAAAACAAAACAACTGTAGGTGCTCAATAAATATTTACTGAATACATAAATGAAAATTTATCAAAAGAGTCAGAAATAGACACTATTTCTGCAATTCAACTCGGGCTGGACTCGAACTGCTGTTGCTCAGAGCTCAAACTCTTGAGCGAGCTCTTAACCAACTGAGCCACTCGGCCAGCCCCCAGTTGTTTTTGATATTAGTACTTAGCTGGGGAGTAGGTATGTATATACAGAGGGTGCCAAAAAAATGCATACACATTTTAAGAGATGCTATCTATGCTCAAGCAGTACTTCTCCATAATCATTAGTGTCTGGACGCTGGTGGTAACCACTTTGAGCACTTCTTATAATTTCAGAAATCAAACGTGACTTGTATTCATCTTTTCTTATTGGTATGTATTGAGTACTATTGAGTACTACAATTTTAATACATTTTTTTTCCTTTTTAAAAATGTGTATATTTTTTTGGCACCTCCTGTAGATTTACAACATCTAATATATCTTTAGATGAATATACTGAATCTGAAATTGCTTATCCTCTTTTTCCTCTCTTTTGAACATCGCTATGACTTCCATATTTTATCTACTTAGCTTTTCCCACAACCCTGTTAGGTGAATGTCTATTTTACATGAGGAAACTGAAGCTCAGAGGTGGTTAGTGATAGACTCATGCTCCCATGTCTGGAGACTGGACCCAGCTCTGTTTGACTCCCAAACTACTCTTAACTGCTATACCAGCTGCCTGCCTGATTTTGGTAAAGTGACAGTGGGTCATTGCCAGCAAGTTTATTTAAATAGATAATCTATGGTATATAGTAGTAATAGGAAATGAAGTTTTCAAAATGGGTGTTTAATAAAAGCATAAAACTGCCATGACTGAACACAGAAGTGACAAAACAAAAACAATAATTGCAAAAGAGGATTATAGAACTCTTTAAAGATAAGCATTGGAAGCAAGTAGAAATGTGTCTTGTTTTGTTTTGTTTTGTTTTAAAACAGCAAGCCCCAAATAGTCATAGCATGATAGGGAGCAAGATTAGGTTCATGGGTATTTGAAGGAAGATGCAACCAAAGCAGGGAAGATGGACCTGAGGTAATGGAAGAGGTAAAAAAAATCATTCTCATAATGGCAAGCATAGGAAACCAGGGATGGTAAATATTCTGTGTTTGGGTATGGTGAGAAGATGAATTTGAGATTCAATATTCATGTAGTTAGGAGCTGTATTGTGTATTTAGAGTAAAATTCTATGGCATCCTGTCTAGCTTTTATCCCCTACCATAGCAAAAAGACCAAAACACTTTTATCAGAAGGAATAATTTGGAAAGACTGAGTTATAAAGCCAATTGAACTTGGCTCAATAATGGATTTGGTTACATCACAGATCTGCTATTTCTAGCAGCCCTATGCAATGATTGTGAAGGCTGTTTTTTTTCCTTTTCACCATTTTTAGTACAGAAACTAGTTAGATTTCCGGGTCTTTCCTCCCTCCCTTTTTATTTTGGTTGTGGGTAAAATTCATAGGATATGTGTTTATGTTAGTGTAGCTGATTTTTCAAGATATTGAATAATGATTTTGGTTAGATAGCTGACTCTGGAAAACAGAATAGATTTTACTTCTGGGTATGTTTTATATAGATTTGTCTTTTTAACTGTTCCTGATAAATAGCTCCCTTTGGGCCCCACCCTATCTTTCAGAGAATAATTTGTTCTGGCTTTATTTTCAATAAATGAATCACCAAGTGTCTAAGCACATACTCAATATCATTAAATACATGGGAAGGTTTTCACCAGTTGAGTCTGTTTTATCTACGCAAATATTTTCTTATTAATTCAATCCAAACAATCTTCTCAAAATTATATATATTTTTGTAAATGTGTGTGCATGTTTCCATTATTAACTTGCAAAACTTCATTCTATTCTAAAATATTAACTTATATCCTTCCTTTAAAAAGAAAACAAAATTGTCATAATTTTTCCTTCTAATACACTCATTTCTTGCCTTGAAAGAAAAATCAATAGTCTCTGTGCTCCAGGGTCTATATTTATCACATTCAACCTTTCTCCACTTTCCTACCAAACAACAAAAACAATAAAGAAACAAACTCATGGGGAAAAAAAGAGACAGAAAAGAACAACTATAGGCACCAAAGTCTGACTTGGTTTCATAATCATAGAATGGAAATTATTTTAACACATTTATGACATTACATGTAACTTTCAGAGTCTGAGTCATCAACAGAAAATATAAATATTCTCTAGTAAATATTTCATACTCTTTCTGTGACTTCTTTGGCTTGTCACTGACACACATTTCTTCAATGATGATTTTGTAAAAGGAAGAAAGACATGATCGATCAGGATTACACTATTGCTGTCACTTCATACTTACAGCAACAGCCTCCAGGATTTGTTTAACAGCATCTGCAGCATCTCGTTCACTGTAATACCCCTTTTCCACGATCCTGAAACAAAACAACAAATTAACATGACATTTTCTCAGACACCTGCATTCAGTTGAGCGGACATTAAAAGAAGTTAATTAAGTTAATGTTAAAATAGATGCATCCGAGCCATTGCAACAGGCTACCACAACTCCAGGAAAAAGACTTCCATAAACTGTCACTCTAGAAATCTTTGGATTTAGGAAAATGAAAAACATTTATTTTGTCTAGGCTTGAACTATCCATTCTGAGGACAAAATTTCTTTCTTTTTAAACATTGTATCATAAATCATTTTAATTATATACCAAGTAGACAATATACCATACACCACGCTTGTAATTGTTACACAGCTTCAAAAGTTATTCATTCATGACCAATGTTGTTTTATCTATCCAGTTAATTACTTCCTATCCTTTGCTATTTTCAAGCAAATATCAGATATTATATAATTTCATTTGTAAATATTTAAGGAGATACCTCTAAAAGATAAAGGGTCTTTTAAAAATCATAAGTATAATGCCATTGTCACACTGATAAATTACAATTCTTTAACATTATCAAATTTGCAGTGTTTCAAATTTCCAGTTGTCTTGGCATGTTAAAATTTGCTATTTGTTTATTTGAGTCAGTATCCAAATAAGGTCCAAATGAGGTCTTTCTGCCTTTCTCCCACTCTCCCCGCCTCCTCCGTCTGGTTTTCTTTCCCAAATAAATGACTTGCTCTTTTTTCATGGATGTGGGCAAGTAATTTTTCTTTCGTGTTGAAATCTTTTCTTTTTTTAATTTCAGGAATGTTTTCCTGAATTAGAATACATCGTATTTGTTTTCTTCTGTTGCTTTGGTTTTCATCTTTGGGCTGTACAATTATACACATACATAAGTTTTTCAACTTTTGATTGATATTGTTGTTTCTTCTATGATTTTCTTTATTATAGTCTATTTTGTAATATTAAGTTATAGTTTTATGTATTTTGTAGCTATATCCTCCTGACATGCTTTCATTGCCTAAAGGAACCTTATTCTGCTCCTTATTTTCTGCGCTCTTATAGTCATTTTGTATTGCAATTAACCAAGACACGTCTCTGTTGCTGCGTATTTTTAAGCCAAATTGGTTTTCTTTCTTTTTTTAAAAAATTAAAGTATAGTTGAGGTACAATATTATATTAGTGCAGGTGTACAACATAGTGATTTGACATTTATATTCCTTACAGTGTGATCTACACTAAGTCTAGTAACTATCTGTCATCATACAAAGTTATTACAATAATAGACTAATATCCCTGTGCTGTACTCATACATTACAGCCTCATAGCTTATTTTACTTTATTTTTCATAACTGTAGGTTTGTACCTCTTATTCCCCTTCACCCTTCTGGTTGAGAGATGGGTCAGGATGTCTTCTCTAGTTTCACAGTTCTTGAATTTCTGTTTATTAACATGAAACATTAAAAAATATGACCTCTTACTTCTGAGATCTCTTCTCTATCTGGAACTGCATTCCCTTGCCTCTAGCATCCTTAATCTGATTATTGGAGTCACTTCCTAGCAGTTTCATCCCAAACATAGAACTTCTTTCTTAAGGAGCTCCAGATATTAATTCCAGGAGTTCGTAGGGACTTGACTACATTAGTTGCCTCAGGCCTTACTGTGTGTGCAGCCTTTGCACTTCTCAGAAAATTGGATGATAAAAAGCCCCCATAATTTCAGCTGTTCCTCTTTCATTGGCCCATGCTGCTTCCCAATGATTGGAAGATTGGAGTGTTCTGTTCTTCGGTCCATCACATGTACTCTCGCTTCCCTTTGCTTCCTCTTACATTATGCGAATACCACGTGGCTCTTGGAACTGTCAATAGTTTGCCCTTATTCACTTGTATTTTAAGCTTCATGGGGAGACCTTGTCACCTGGTTTTGTTATAGGGGTTGTCTGTGAGTTTTTTGTTTTTTCTGTCCTAGTTTTTCCTCTGTCTATTCTTATGGGAATACTTGGAAAAACTACTTTTTTGCTCCTTGTATCTTACCAGAATTTTAAGAGAAAATACATTTTGGAGAGCACTGTAGATTACTAACTTGCAGAAGATGTTTTCAGTAGACAAAAGTTTATGGTAAGACATGTCTGAAAGAGGTCAACTCAAAACATAAAAGAGACAAAACTTCAACAAGTTTTGTAATTTGCATTGACATTTTTCTTAAACTGTTAATTCCTCAAATAGCTTATTTTTCAGAAAATATCTTCCTTTAGAAAATGTTTTAGCAAGGAGTTCTAAGTTCTTAAAGTAACTAGTGTTAAAAGTTGAATTTAAAATCTATAAAATGTTTTAAAAATACAAGATGGAAGGTGAGGAAAGCAGAAGAGAACAGATATGACAAAAAATAAAAGGATGGATTATAAGAAGATACCTCAATGATCACAATTATCAAGATTCAGAGAAACTATACTGATGCAAAAATTTCAATTTTTTAAATTTTCTTCATTCAATTATTGAGAACATTGTCAAGAAACAAAACTTCATCATTTTTTCAAAGGATATAAGATGAAATATCTTTTCCCCCATTTTTATTTCTTAGATATCTGTTATGTACCAGGGTCAAACAAAATGTGAAAATAGATTGCAATATTCAGTGGATTATT